AGTTACGATTAATGTGGCAATTAGTTTAGGTAATAATAACAAACTGAATTCTGCGAATGGTAAATGCTAAGTATCCGGAGATGATTAATATGGAAATAGTATAAGAATATGTAAATGAATTAAAGACAACATGACTTTATTTATCAGTTTGAAATTAAGACAACATCCCTAAAATTGCTTATCCAATATCCGAATAGACTAAAACCGGGTCAAACCCGGATCCAAAAGAATTAAAGCAAAAATGTACTATAAAAATGTATATGTAGATACTTGCGAAAATCAACTTGATGTTGTTTTAATTAATATATCATAGTAAATACATTAGAATAATACATACTGGTGAAAAATCTTTAAATCTGCGAACTTGACGGGCACTCAAGTTTAAGTACACTACACGAGGGTTTCTTGTACAGCAAGAAATAGGAATCCACGCGTTAAAATGACAGCAGATTAATTAAAGCATGTTCATGCGTGTATATTTAGACATAAATCTTTTGTCGTTTCCATTCCAAGTCAGAGTATCGATCTCAAGAAATCGAAGACAGTACAAGCAGAAGCTGATCATTACTGACTATCTGTTGTAGAGCCAATATCAGTTGATTTTTATTATCTTCACTCTCGAATCCTTCCAATTTGACCAGTTTCAGATCCCTTAGTACTCTTGCATGCTCGCATGCATGGACAGCATCAACACTAACTTCTTCGTTTGAACTATAAGTATTTGAATCGATCTTCGAAATATTTAAAGGTATTAATTAGCACAACGCATGAACTACAAAGTAACAAAGGTTTTAGGTTCTAGACACTTACATCAATGAAGAGGCGCTCGATTGATGGGCAAAGTTTGAGAAAAGAAATCATGGAATTAATGTTTTCTTGGTTCATCGAGTTATCGATCCACTGCAATTCTTGTAACTTGTAGAATTGGAATGATCTCCAAGATGATGATATGGACGGTTTTATTACTTCCTATAAACAAAGACAGTAATATATCTGTCAAACCTGGTCCTAAATCTAATTAATCTAAATCCAAATTATGTCAAAACTAGATGATAGAATCACATAATCATAAAATAAACAACATAGAGATTATCTTTGTTACCTCGAACATCCATCTGCAAAGAGTAAGAGATTGAGAATTCTTGATGATCAGCAAGAGAGGACCCATGTCTAAAGCATTGTTGTAATAACATGGGCCTTGTCTTACGTCAAAAATCGCCCTGGTCAAGTTGAAATGTTCATGAATCTTGATCAAAGGTAGAGATCCTTGGTATTGAAAAGTTTTAAGCTTCAATGATCTGATCTCGAGATATCTCAGCTTCGGGCATCCCGAGATTGATAAGTGAAGAAGCTTAGTTGGTGAATCAATAGTGAGAGAAGTCAATCCCTTGCAACCACAAATCTTGAGGCTATCAAGTAAAGAAAATTCCAATACCATGGAGGAAACGACCTCGTAGGTTAACGAATTCACCGAGGCTAAACAAAGCGTCTTCACCAAGAAACCGCTTGATGAGTACTCACGTCTTGGGATCTGATCATTGATCTCAAGACGCCAGCAAAAGCTCTCTTCTTTGTTAGAACCACCAGAGAAGAAGAAGCTCATATGCATGAGGTTATGAGGTGCGAGAATAGTGGACACGAAGGTTGACTTGTCAACGTGTAACTCTAGCCTCCGAGTGTTTTTAGTAGGATCATGCTCGTCGAAGTTGTTGATGAAGCGAGAGACGACGTGAGATATGTCTTCGATGGAGCCGTTGTGGCTGTGAGCGACGAGTAAGGCTTGGTTCCAAACGGACCTAAACCGTGTGGAGACCAAAGGGATTAGTCTTGCGGATTCGAAAGGGAGGAAGCTGATGATGTAGAGGAGAAGCTCTAGCGGTAGGCTTGAGAGGATGTCTGGTTTGTGTTCCTCCATGGTTATTGCACTTTGAGGTGCTTTGAATTTGCAACGGAGAGGTTTTAAAGAAAAGTACGTTTATGGTACGTACGGATTTGGGTTTTTATAAAGCTGGATTCTCGGCGTTGATCATGTTACTTTTGTTGTTAAACACACTTCTTGATATATAAGTCTATTTTTTGTTTGTTTATTGTATAAAAGCTAATACGTACAAACATCCTATGATGACCGTGATGAAAAGGAAAAAAGTCCTATGTTGATATGATGTCTTCATACGTATTTCAACATCTTTCTGGGTTTTGGAGCAATCCAAATGTTCATACGGAATATTCAAAGTTGGTTAGAAGTAAGATTGTCATGGAAAAACGCAGACCAGATATTATGACTTTTTGTGATATGTGATCGGTGCATTTTGTTTGGATTCATAGATTGGCATTTTTTTTGTTCTTATGTTTGTTAAAGGCAGGATTTTCAGACACTTTCAGTCAAAATTCTGAAAATAGAGGTCAAAGGCATGTAGCCGAAAAATCAAATAACTTTAAATGTTGACATCCTATGACAAAGAACGTGTTTTGAGATTAAAAATAAAATAAAATTTCTTTCATGCTGGTAATTTTGTTTTAGAAACTATGACATGTCTCAGTTTATATGATTTGGTAAGATATATACAGTAATAATATTTCATTGTTTCCATGAGGATTTGGCTTGATTAGTGTCTAATTAAACAAGTGAGAGCGACTACTTTGGGCCTTTGGCTAACATCATCCAAGCTCGTATAAACGTCCGATCCGTACAATATTTTGTAAAACTGTATGAGTAGAGCCTAGGAGGTATGGTTAATGCAAAAACGTTCCTGCTTTAATGCTTTTGTAGAAGATATGATGTATAAAAACAATCATTTAATAAGTTGACCGTCTAGAATATTGGATATTCGTTAGGATAGCAACACATCACTTATCTATATTAAATCTAAAGCAATAATTTTGGCAGAGTTGAAATTTCTTGAGTTTTAAGTCAAAAGTAATAGTTGTATTAAAGAAACAGAACAAAACAGAGTGTAGGAAGAAGACGGAGTTTTACGCGTTCGACAATCAAGGTGATCAAATCTATATCATAAGAGCAGACACTGTGTGGGTGTCTCAAAAATACTATTTTAATCAATTTATAACAAAATAAGTTATTTATTTAAATTATAAATTATAAAAAAAGAATTTTACAAATAATAAAAGGACATGTGGAGACACAGTTTCTCAAAGTTTCTCAAACCAGAAACTGTGTCTACACTCTCTCCTACTTTTATATTATTTTCTATTTTTTTAATCTTAAGACATTCCTCCAGACATTACTGTTGGAGATGCTCTAAGGATTAAAAAACACTAAAAACCTAACAACCTAAGATAGAGACTCAAAAAACATTGAGATTAAGACGCTGCTTACTTAGCTTATTGTTAAATTTGAAAATACCGGGTTGGTCCTTAATTAGTTCAAGTTTTAACACATGGAATTTAGAAACTGAGTACTTCTCACCGGATTCAACCATTTAAAATACCATTGGATATCATATCTCATAGATTTCACATTTTTCTTACAAAAAAATAGCATGAGGTTACATAAAAAAAGAAGACATGTCTATACTTAAGAAATTATTTTTTCATTGTATTAATTGTGATAATGATTCTAAAAAGATTTCAATATAAAAAAATGAGAAAAATGTCGAAAAAGTTAAAAGAGTCATCAAATCAGAGTTAGCAAACGAATATGATAAATTCTGTAACTGTTTCTCTCACAGAATTTTATTTTTTATTACTTTTTTTTATTTTACAAATTTACTTCTTTTTATTATTATTATTATTATTATTATCATTACCAAAAAAAATTATTATTATTATTATTATTTTTTAAAATACTAATAGTTAAAAAAAGCACAAAAAAAGAAATAGAAATATATAGATATATATATATAGTTAGCCTCTAGAAAGACCTAAATCCCTTGGTCCTCTTCGTTAGCCTCCAGAAAGAAAGACCTAAAATCCGCAGTCGCATCTTGTCAACTTCTCCATGGAGGGATCCGCCACCAAAGTAATGTCTTCTTCGATCCTTATGGCTTTCTTTGATCTCTGTTCCTCAATTTGAAATATCTGATTGTATCTTTTGGTACGTTAGGGTCTGGGATAGAAGGATAGTGATGTAGACATCGGAAAACGCAGGTAAAAGTTGAAATTGATTTGTTGATCCGTAAGATTTGTTGATGTCATGTTAATAATATTATCTCCTGCAGGTTGGACCTTGACCCGAGCAGATCCGCCACTAAAGTAATGTCTTCTTCGATCCTTATGGCTTTCTTTGATCTCTGTTCCTCAATTTGAAATATCTGATTGTATCCTTTGGTACGTTAGGGTCTGGGATTGAAGGTAGACTTCGGAAAACGTTCACATCCCAATTTTGTTTGCAGGCTTGCTTAGATGAATTTACTCATCATAACATTGATGTTGCTTGCAATCTTCTGGAGACATGTGGCCGATTCCTTTATCGGTCTCCCGAAACCACGCTCAGGATGACTAATATGCTGGACATATTGATGCGCCTGAAAAATGTCAAGAATTTAGATCCTCGTCAAAGCACACTTGTGGAAAATGCCTACTACCTTTGTAAACCACCTGAAAGATCAGCACGAATTTCTAAAGTTCGTCCACCATTGCATCAGGTACTTGCTAATCTTTAACTACAATGTCTTTTGTGTTTCAAATAACATTCTGTTGCTCAATCGTATTGGCGACTTTGTTTTTTCTTACACTTCTATTCAAATTTCTGCAGTATATCCGAAAGTTGCTATTCTCAGATCTAGATAAAGACTCCATTGCAAACGTACTGAAGCAACTGCGGAAGCTGCCATGGAGGAGAAAGATGGTTGGTTTGCAGCTAACTGAGAGGAAGTATACTAAAGCATCTCATACTCCACTGAACAAAGCTAAAGCTGAAATACTACAATTACAGAGACATCCATAGCAAACAAAAACTAATTGCAAGTGGAGATGGCTTTTAGCAACTTCTTATGGTCAAAAAACTCAGGAATTTGATGTTTATAACCATTTGACATAGTAGCCAGAGTAATAATGTATGATTAAATTTCATATAAATCTAGTTATCCTCAAGACTCACAAATACAAAAAAAACAAGAAAGACATATAAACTCATGAATCACTTGTGATCGTCTTCATCGATTGTTCCGAATTTCTGCTTGAAAGATTCTTGCTTCTGCAGCCACATCATGTGACCCTGCACACGAATTAATTACAGACATATATGTTCAAAATCCAGATTTATGAACTCCAAAATTTCGATTTAAGAAACCCTAGAATCTATAACAAATTCACTGGAAATGCAAAACTTGACCTGAAGACCAGCAGCCCAGACGATGAGGAAGGAAGCGACCCAGAATCTCTTGTCCTTGACGATCGTCTTCACATCGAATTTCATCAAATCGGCTTTTGATTTTGGATTTTATGTTTCTGATTTTGCATCCAAACTTGGTTAAGAAAGTTCGTTACAAAACTGGCCCAAGCCCAACTAAAACGAAACGTATTACCGCTAAGGCAAAATTAAAATTGGACCAGCTTGTCTCAACTAGTCATCTTCTTTGAAAACATTAAAGGGTGTTATTCACTTATAGAGTTAAAGTCAATTTTTAAAGGTTTAAATTTGATTTTTGGTATTGTTTTTAACAATCTGTTTGTGTGAAGTTCAAAATCTCTGCAGTATATCCCGAATTATGATTCTAATGATTTACTCATGAAACTCAAAGATGTTTCATTTCAAATGATTTGATATACAAAGATTAACAAGTCTTTTAGTTTTGAATAACACTGGATTTTAATGAAGCATTTTAATTCTTAGTTGAATAACACCAAACTTTAAAATCTATTAGAGTTAGATTTAAAATCATTAAGTTAATAACACTGGATTAGTGTTGGATTTCAATTTTATTAAAATCAATCATTCAATAACACCACCTAAGGAATGGAAATAAGCAAATAAAACCAGTGATATGCAAATAAGATTTAGATTTTTTAAAAGGCCACATTATCTTTTTTTATTTGATGAGTCTTTTACATGTTAACAAAACAAAATATAAATTTGATATATATAGTTAGCCTCTAGAAAGACCTAAATCCCTTGGTCCTCTTCGTTAGCCTCCAGATAGAAAGACCTAAAATCCGCAGTCGCATCTTGTCAACTTCTCCATGGAGGGATCCGCCACCAAAGTAATGTCTTCTTCGATCCTTATGGCTTTCTTTGATCTCTGTTTCTCAATTTGAAATATCTGATTGTATCTTTTGGTACGTTAGGGTCTGGAATTGTGGTACGACATCGGAAAATTCAGGTAAAAGTTGAAATTGATTTGTTGATCTGTATCCGTAAAGATTTGTTGATGCCATGTTAATAATATTATCTCCTACAGGTTCCCCAGATCCGTCAGACACGCCATGAGATCCGCCACCAAAGTAATGTCTTCTTCTATCCTTATGGTTTTCTTTGATCTCTGTTTCTCAATTTCAAATATCTGATTATATCTTTTGGTACGCCAGGATCTGGAATTGAGGAATAGTTATGCAGACATTGGAAAAAGCAGGTAAAAGTTGAAATTTATTTTAGATCTGTATCCGTAAAGATTTGTTGATGTCATGTTAATAATATTATCATCACCTGCATGCAATCAATCAAATCTATGGCAGGCACAGCATTGTGAGCAGGATTTACGTTGAGGGATACGACACTTCCCTTTCTGGTCATGATTTCGTTTACGCTATGAGAGCACATTTCGCTTCGTGTGGAGAGGTGATGCTTGTTTATATTCCTGGATACGTTCGTGGAGGTGGACGCAGTATTGGCAACAGGTTTGTGGCGTATCTTTCCTCCCGTGTTCTCATCAGCATCAGCTTTTAAGTTAAATTTGTTGCGATAATTAAACTCACTCTTGATGATTTTGTTTTATAGATTTGCCTTTGTTTACCTTCGAGGAGAAGGTGCAGAAGAGAGGGCGTTGAAACTCCATGGAAGTTACATGGGAGGACACAAGTTAGTCGTTGAGCCTTACCCGTTTCATGCCACATACCTTGACCACAAGTTGGCTCCTATGAGAGAGGCAGACAACAAGCAACAATACACGTAATTTTTTTTTTTTTTTTTTTTTTTCAATTTTGTCTCTAAGATAGGTTGGTTCTTCTTGTCATGTTGGTTGATAATATTATATTATTAGGTTTTTTGTTGAGGGATATGACACTTCGCTTCCCTTGGATTATGTCAAGGGCAAGCTGTATGAACATTTCTATAAGTGTGGAAGTATCAGGTTCATCATTAGTGTTACTCAAAAAGAACACGGAGGTCCTCTCTCCAGGTTTGTGGCTTCTATCGTCCTCCCAATTTGCTCTCATATATCTCATCTTACTATCAAAAGCTAACCAAAGAAAATGTTTATGTTTGTTGCTTTTTATAGTTCCGCTAAGACATCTGTTGATGGAATAAACACAATAGAGAAGGTGCTGCAACTTGGTAGATGTGATGTGAAAAGATTGGAGAATATTTATATTACTAGGGTTGCGCCTCCAGAACCAGACGAAGCGTTTTTGCCCTGTATCCATCCAGCCCATCTTTGGACATGTTCTTCTTCCAAGACTCCTTCGGCAATGGCTGCTGCTGCTACAGCTCCTGAGGATCCAAATCTCCCTGAGCCACCATGTATGAGTACTCTTCTCCCTTATCCATATAATTTGCGCTTTCAGAATTTAGATGTCGAGTACAAGAAACTATTTTATGCTTCACAACCTGCGGTAAAACGTTACGCACCTGAGGATCCAAGTCTACCTGAGCCGTGGAAACGTCTTGAGAGTAGCAATACGTATTCGTACTATTGGAATACAGAGACTAATGTTACCCAGTACGAGAGACCTCCTTCTTCTTCTTGAGCTCCTCCCCGGTCTCGCCGTCCAGTCCTACATGGTTAGCTATAACGCCAACAGATACATGTATTTGATTCTTGATTTCCCTCACTATATACGACTCGATTAAACAATTGATTGGTACAATGCCAGGTTGGATGTGAACTATAACTGCGTTATCACTAAACATTAGAAAACCAAAAAACATTGTTTTAGAAACAAGAATGGCCCACCTTATAAATCCATGTGAAGCAAACTCATGGTTATGGCCCTTTTATTTTCTAAGAATATATAAGTTATTGTAGGAACCAAATGTCTCTCAATGTACACACCATCATTAATATGTTGTCTGGTTTAACGATATAGCCATGAAGCTGAAGTTCCATCTAGAATTTGAGTTTCCTATCAGTTAAACTGTGCTTTTTTTCTTTCTCAAACTATGTAACAAATAGATTAATGAATTTTGTTAAAACCAATTGAATCAACCCTATGAATAAGGTCCATTGTTTCTTTGGTTCTTAGCGTTTCTAGTTTTTTTCATTTTCTTCTCGACGGATCGTGGGCTAGGGCCATTATATAAACATATCAAATATTATATATATATATATTATTTTGTTAACATGTAAAACACTCATCAAATAAAAAAAGATAATGTGGCCTTAAAAAAATCTAAATCTTATTTGCATATTACTTGTTTTATTTGCTTATTTCCATACCTTAATGTCTTCAAAGAAGATGACTAGTTGAGACAAGCTGGTCCAATATTAATTTTGCCTTAGCGGTTAGTTGGGCTTGGGCCAGTTTGGTTACGAACTTTCTTAACCAAGTTTGGATGCAAAATTAGAAAAATAAAGTCCAAATCAAAATTCTCAAAAGCCGATTTTGATAAAATTCGATGCTTAACGAAAGGGTTTAATGGCGACGAGATTTGATGTGAAGACGATCGTCAAGGACAAGAGATTCTGGGTTGCTTCCTTCCTCATCGTCTGGGCTGCTGGTCTTCAGGTCAAGTTTTGCATTTCCAGTGAATTTGTTATAGATTCTAGGGTTTCTTAAATCGAAATTTTGGAGTTCATAAATCTGGATTTTGAACATATATGTCTGTAATTAATTCGTGTGCAGGGTCACATGATGTGGCTGCAGAAGCAAGAATCTTTCAAGCAGAAATTCGGAACAATCGATGAAGACGATCACAAGTGATCATGAGTTTATATGTCTCTGAAACGGCTTCTTGTTTTTTTTTTTTTTGTATTTGTGAGTCTTGAGGATAATTATATTTATATGAAATTTAATCATACATACTCTCTGGGCTCTGGCTACTATCTCAAATGATCAAATTCCTGAATTTTCTCGAGTTTTTGATTATAAGAAGTTGCTAAAAGCCATCTCCATTAGCAATTAGTTTTTGTTTGCTAGAGATGTCTCTGTAATTGTGTTTCAGCTTGAGCTTTGCCTACTGGAGTTTGAGATGCTTTAATATACTTGCTCTCAGTTAGCTGCAAACCGACCATCTTTCTCGAACATTCCCTGTGAGATTTGAACATCAAATTTCAGATACTCGAAAGGCTTGTGATGAGTCAAAGCAGAAGCTCCTCAAGCTGCTATTTGAATGTAGTCTCTGTTGTTTTGAAGAACTTTGAAGAACTCAAGAGCTAGAGCTTGTTTTGTATTAGTTATGGACAGTGAAAATCTAGGTCTAGTGTTGCTTAGAAGAAGTGAGGATCTTGGATTGAGATCTTTAGTATTTGTTTCACTGCAGTCAACTTTTTGAAGTTTTGAAGCATTCTTACTTCTTTCGTAGAAATATGTGTTAAGGCGAAAAGAGCTTCATCACTGAAATACCCAAAATCTGATTGTTTAGGTTTTCATAGTTCACACGAACGATCTCGTTTCCTTAGACGTCGTCTCAATCATCCAATGTGTTTGAAAAATCACCAAATTACTTAGCTTTTAACTTTCTCAAAATTTACAGTATATAGAAAATAAGGGAATAATATATTTATATTAATATAAAGTTTATAGATATGGGACTTCAGACAAGTCCTCCAAATTCATTCTCTGTGTCTATGGCAAAGAAAAACGTCAGCAGATGTGCAAATTATTCTTTGTTTTTTCTTTGTCAACTTTATGCAAATTATTCGAAATTAAATGGTTAAGCATATATTATCTGCAAACAGATGTGGATCTCCTTGTCAATATCAATTATTACACTTTAATCATAATACTTTTTATAGATAGCTAAGTACTAAAGAGCTAAAAGTAGTCATAAGTAGCAAAGCAATAGCTGTGGTATTTTCATAGTTATATTTTGATTTTTAATATTTCTTTTATAAATATTTTACATGTTTTTTAAAATAAGTAATTCAAATTCTTTAATTTATCATCCTCTCTTGATTGCCAAACAAATGCGTTGTTATTGACGGCCAAAACCAATTATTTGTTTCCCGTTTATTTTTCTAAGATCTTTGATAATTAAGTTTGATCCAAAACTCACAGTTTCTATTGCTTTTGTTGTTGTTGTTATTTCATATCTTTAAGCTTTTGCACACACAAAAAAAGAAGAAGCATTTTTCAAAGTGAAAACTTTAGAATGTCATAGACATTATGTATTTTCTCACATAATTCATTTCAGAAAAATACATCATACAATATCAATTTGTATTCATTTAATACCATGTAATTTTTTTTTTCCATTTAATACCATGTAATTAAGGATTCAAATTTCCATTATTTCATTCATTTTTCTATGGTTCACCAAACTCAAATCTTTTTCTTTCTACTTTACCGATTCAAGTAGCTAGGATGGTGTACTGAAAGGAACTTGAAATGACTAACGTAGAATATTCGAACAAAACAGCACCATACACTCTATACTTTCTATAACTAAAGTACAAAATCTGTCACATCAAGTACAAAACTATCTCTCAACATTGATGCTTTCTTATTTTTATTTTTCATATGGGATCCATTCTTACAGACCTTGGACAAATAAACCGAACCTAAACTGAAGCAAAAAAAAATCAAACTGAACCGAATCGAAAATTTGAAAATAACCGAATGATGCTAAATTTTATAACTGAAATAACCGTAACCGAATCGGTACCGAACCGAAATACCTAAAATACAATTATATTTTCAAAATAATTAGTTATTTATAGACCAAATATTTAAAAATACTTGAAAAATATATAAAAATAGTAAAAATACTCTAAAATAACCGAAATATATCCAAAAATATCCGAAAATACTCAAAATAACCAAAATATCCGAAAATATCCTAAGAAAAATAACCGAATGGATACTAAATTTTAAACCCGAAAGAACTGGAACCGAACTGAAACCGAACCGAATTTTCAAAATATCCGAATGGATACTAAATTTTAAAACCGAAAGAACCGAAACCAAATGGATCCAACTGATAACCGAACGGATAACCAAAAGCACAGGCCTACTCTCTTATGTGGCGACCAGAAACCGCAACATGCAGAATCTCTAAAACACGTCCCAATTCAAAAAAGTGTTGATTTGATCCATTATGCTCCTCCGATCCACTACCCACCACCGCATTACATCATACTCGTGCTCTAAAGCATTAGTTTCCAATAACTTTTTTTTGCAGATTATGTATGAAAAGAAAGAAAAATAAAGTAGCATGATTTTTTTGTTGCAGATTTATTGGCCAGCTGTTGGATATATACGTAGGAAACCCACAAGTGACTGAAGATGTGTTATAAATTAAGAACTCAAAACACCAGATAATTTTAAGTAAAAGGTACTTTAAGTAGTGCAAAACATTTCATATATTATAGCCGGATACAAAATTTAACAAAGCCAAAATTAGCATTACAATAACACTCTACCAATAAGCAACGATCCGCGGTGTTTAGAAACCGGACTCATTGTTTTCTCTTATTATATTTTTATTATCGCCGTTAGTTTTTTGTTTAATTTAGACTGATTCATTGGTGTTAGGCCTCGAGATCACAACACTTGCATCATGTGTATCCATTTTTGCATTTGCTTTCGATGGGAGTGTCACAATTTGTGGAGTACTAAGTGGGAGTTCCTTGTCCGTGTCGGAAAATGATGAAGATGGTTCGTCTTTACTTTTGCCCCACAAAACTGAATAGAGTCCAAGAACTATCACTATCGCTCCAAGAATCCTACAAACATTATTAATTAATCCATGAGATTAAACTAATTAAATCATTAGTTATTTTCAAAAGCTTTTTGAAAGGTTACGTACCTCCCAAGGAACATAACCTCAGCAAGAATTATAGACCCCAAGATGGCAACTATGACCATGCTCAATGGATTGAAGGCAGTCACAAACACCGGTCCTCGAGTTTTCATAATTACTCCTTGAACGTAATAACCAATCCCTGAACATATCACCCCCTGCATCAAATCAAAATAAGATCATTTTTAATTTAATTTATTGTACAAGTAATCGGAATCAAACAATAGATTATATATATATTAGTATAATTAATCTTACACCATAAACAGCAGCTAGTAATTTGGAATCCAATTGGATGGCCCAAGCAGAAGGATTTCCCCTTTCAATAAAAAGTGCCACAATAGTGCTTTCAATAGACCCCATGAAGCATATGTAAGCTGTCAAGGATAGCTCTACCGGGTAGGACTTAAGCGTGATTGCCTGCATAGCCAAACATTTTAGTGGTTTGATTAGTACTAGCACTATAACCGTTTCTAATATATTGAATAATATGTAAATATTGGTCTTTAAAATTACTTGGAGATTGATAAAACCGGCCCAGCAGATACAACCGATAGCGATGAGGCTTGCGCCTTTAGTTAGGTCTTGTTGGACTCCGGTATTGGATGGGTCTTGATGAATGTCGTGAGGATTAGCCCAAGGCAAAGGAATTAAAGGTCCTTTCACAACAGTCATAAGCATTGCTCCACCAACTGTCACAACTGTCCCTAGAATCTTGGCTTGGCTGTGTATTTTCTTGACGTTAACCTTCTCAAGTCTACGCAACAAAAATAATGATCTCTTTAGACTAGAAACCAAAACCGGACCAAAACGAACCACATCAAACGAAATTAACAAAGTTAAGTTTCTAATACCTAAATATCCATGCCATGATAAAGGCAAAGGCAGGAAGAACATTGGTCATTGCAGCTGTGAAAGTGGCGGAAGTGTACTTCATACCAGTGTAGTATAAGTTCTGGTCAATTGTTGGTCTATAAACATATAAACACAATTTCAATTAAACATTCGAAGTCAAAACATAAGAATAAATATTGAAAAGAAAAAAATAGTAAATCAGTCTTACTCCAATAACCCAAGCAGCAATATCTTGAAGAAGATGGGTAGCGTCATCTTCGGCCGTATTTTTCTGTTCATGATTCAAAAATCAAATTAAATTTTAAAAAATAAAAAAAGAATATTAACATTTTCTACGTGAAGAATACGTAGACACCAGTCTATATATACAAGTACGTACTTACATTTACGTACGTATTAGTAAAGTATACATGTATGCATGATTATATGTACGCCAAATGAAAATACTATACCTATCCAAGAAATAGGCAAATGGAGCAATGAAAATTGTAGCGACGATATGGCGATATGCAGCTAGAACGTGAGGGCTCATGCCTTGGTTCAGTGCAAATTTCGCTATGATCGACAGTCCAGCATATCCGAATTGTAGAGAAACAACAGTTATGAATGGCTTCCATGTTTTTAAAGCCATATCTCAACGTATACTTGAATTTGGTATAAAGTGATGTGAAATTGCAATATGATGTAAGAAAGAGCTGATGGAGAATTGTGGGAGGGGTTGAGGTTGGTTTTATAGGAGGGTTTTTAGGGTTTTGTATTATTTTTCATGGGAATTAAAAAAATGAAAAATATTTTTGACTTTTGAGTTTGGAGGAATTCTAGGGATTCCACTAAGTAATGCAAGTTTGATTGTGAAAGTATATATGCCATTCTTGTTTTGTAGAATATAACATGGTTCTGATATAATTATCCCTGATTTATAATAGGAGGATACATAATTATATAAGCAATTGGTGGTCGTGATGATGATGGAAACATCAACTACAATTGTTAATTATTAAATTTTAAAACTTCTAAGTAATTGGTTCCTTTTAAGTTTTTTTTTTTTTTTTTTTTTTGTGCACCAAGGAAACTTTAAGTTTAAACCAAGGAAACTTCTCTGGATTCAACAATTTTCAATACCAATATTGGATACTATCCCATAGATTTCACATTATTTCATACAAATTTTTTTTAGCGTGGTTACATAAAAATATAGATACGCATATGCATGTCAAAATTATTCACCTGCTCGATTATCCCAAATTCGCATGTTATCTATTATATTTTGCTGTTTTGTACTAACAAGTTGTACTTTCAAACTTAAAAAAGAAACATTATTGGTATAAAAATATCGTTACATAATTTTTATTGTATTAATGTAATAATTATTATCTGAATTTTTTTTTTTCTGTATAAAAAATGAGAAAAAAAAAACTAAAAGAGTCATCAAATAAGTTAGCAAGCGAATATGACATTTAGCCAACAAATGGGTATAGTGAGATTCAATTGAGGAACACAAGTGGATCCGTGTCGATTATGTTTTTGTACGTAGTTTATGAAAAAGGATAAGAAGAGATATATCACGAATAATTGAACCCACCAAATTAAATATTACTTCAATGAAGCTGGAAAAACAATTAGAAATTGTGAGTATGTCTACATAACACAATTAATAAATGGAAAAACGCATTATGAAATCCGAATCGGATCATATGTGGAAGAAAGAAAACAAAATAACTTTTGGCCAACGTCGTGGTTGAGATTTTTGGCACTTTATTATGATACTCTCCACCTGGAACCTATATCTCTTACATAGAACAATAATAGTAATATTTTGATAAAAAAATAATAAGGGAATGTATACGTATCTGACGAATGCCACAGAGTTTAATTCCCGACAGCCTAATTTTGTATTGTAGGCATGTTTATGCGAACCGTCCCTGACGATATATATTCCCATCATCTTCAGTGTGATTTGCTAAACAAGATTCGGATTATAAAATTTTGAGTAGTGATGTTTTGTACTTTAACTTGTTAAGAATATACGATTTTTTTCAAATCAATTATGACAATTAGTGAAATTCAAACCAGATAAAAAATTTCTTTAATTGTAATATCATGCGTTTATACATATCATGAACTCTAACTTTTTTAATTTTCTTTTCTGATAAAGGCATATCATGAACATGACAAATGGGATATCATGAACTCACACAAAAAACCTGTAAAAGATGGAGAGATAATGTTTTTCTCCCCCACTATATTGGACAAATTTGGCAAGCTGAGTTGACACCGAATTTAATTGGCTGGATTTTTAAGTAGCAGATGCATTACAACTGATTTGATAGTTGATTCGTAATAAATTATCACATTCTTTTCTTTAATTACTATTGTTATTCGATATATGAATATACAGATAAGAAAAACATCAACCCAAAAAAAAAAATATCTCTAACTTATCAGTCAAAAAACTCAAAACAATACAGCTTTCAAAGCCGGATATTATACGGCATATCCATAACTTAATGGTGGTTTTATGGTTGAAAAGTTTACTGGGTGATTAATTTTTTTATGGTTGAAAAGTTTACTGGGTGATTAATTTTTTTATGGGGACAAAATCATGGTTGGTCAATGAAATTTTTTTAGTGGATTAATTTAAGCTCGGTACGAAATGTTTTGATTATAAAAAATAAATTACTTAAAGAATCAAGACCTAAAACAAATAAAATGTAAAAATTAATATGAATAAGAAAATTCAATATTTAGCAAAAGTCTATGCGTCATAACATAATTTCTCTTGTCTTTGTAACATATTGGAAACGAGTCTCCTCTAGTTGTATTTCTAGTAATATCCAGTTGAATAAAAACATGCATGCCTAAAAGAGCCTTCTCTGACTCGTTTCTGGTTTAAATTAAGATTCATCCAACACCAATTAATTATGTTTAGACACACCTAGGCAACTGGAAGTTTAAATCCAAGTACACATTAACTAATGTAATTTTTTGTTTGTAAGTTCTTACAAAATTTCAGAAAATGTATGAAGGATAATGATCTTTTAAATAGAAGCATCTCCGCCAAAACAAGTGCGGCTTAAAATGATTCATCATGCCACCACCACCTGTGCAAACAAAAATTAATTTTGGTATCAATTTTGTTATGTGACCAGTGACAACCTTGCTGAAGACATGATAAATACATGTCATCTAAAACTATTAATTCTCTTGAATTAACAGCAACCGAGGGTATGAAACCAAAGAAGCAAAAGGAAAGGATGACTTCCATTGTCTAATAAAAGCTTTAGCAGTTAGCATATAGTGTGAATTGTTGTAATATAATTATAAAAGAAAAATGTAGATAAGATAGTACCGATCGGCGATCGAGACACATCTCAGATATGTGTTGGTGTGCTCTTTGAGGTTGGTTTCGTGGTTTAGGCTTTGCCATTATAATATCACTCTTTGCTCCACTCAAATCTGCAAAATTTTATGTTATTTTCTGTTCGATTTGATAAATATATTCCAATATGTTTGAATTTTTGGATCAGATATTTAGGTATAGTTAATTAGTAGTTACATACGAAGATTTGTTGGTGTGCACGTTCGTTAACTTCAACGTATACCAGCTTGTATTTATCACAAACTAAAAACGTAGAACAGATACTTATGGTCAAGTCCTAAAGACATTGAAAGAAATAAGTTGAATTTATCGTCCACTAAATAATTAGATTGTTTGGGTTACAAAAAAAAATAGATTGTTTAATATTTTTTATTTTTATGGTGAAATCTACTCTCAATTCAAAGTTAGTTCCAGAATTATTGTGACTATTTTAGTTCCAGATGGTGAGCAAACTTAATTATACATTATTTTGAAAATGTCTAAACTCTACAGTACTAGTCAACTTTGTTTCTCATTATACAACTTTTTGAATTTTTAATTTTGCAAAACTAAAATCGCTATAGTATAGAATGGTTTGGTACAATTTTAGTTAGATGAAATCAACTTTTAATCAAAATTTTAAAGAGTAAATAATTTTTTGTTAAATGTACATTTCTTTTTGGTTTTGTTCATGCTCGATTTAAAGGAATTAACACTTAAACTTTCGTAACAAAAAGAATAATTCGAATTCGTATACATAATTAAATTACATCAACACATAGCATAAAGCTATATATATCTGATCAAATTAATAATATTGAAAAGCATTACAAAGTTGTATAATGAGAAGACTAAAGTTAATTTCGTTTGGCAATGGCAAGGGATGAGAAAACAGATAAAACAGCAAGACAGATGAAAGAGAAGAGAAGAAGACTGGCCGATGCGTAGCCTCTGCTAAAGAACTTATCCACAGGATCAGTCGAATCCAATGCCACTAATGCTATAAATGCATCTTTCAAATCCTTGCTCACTCCAAATCCAGCTGCCGAACCCGTCGCCACTAGATATGATATTAACTTGCAAAAATAAAATTATCATCAGTTAGGAAAAAAAAAACACATTTTCAGTAGTCAAGTTTCGTTGATTTATCAAAGTATATATCAATACGTTCAACAAACGAATTTGGCTGGAAAGTAGTTTAATACCTTGTCACCGTAAAAATCGAGTTGATAATTAAAAGGGTTTTTCATTCCGGTGGCGAATTCGGAGATTGTGAAGAACAGTTGTATGACGGCGTAAAGTAGTCCGATGACGGCAGCTGAAAGCATGTATCTTCAAGAAGGCAAGAAAATAAAAACATTTAAGTGAAAGAGTTGATACACTTCGATAGGTTTAATAACCTTAGGCACAAACATCTTTGAAATGAAAAACATAACAAATTACTTTAGTTTATGTCTTTATGACTTATGCTTTCCTAAATTAAACCGAACAAACCAAGTCGAATATAAATACAAAAGAATAGAAATTAAGAGCTTTGTTCGAATTACCTATAGGCATAAACATCTTTGAAATGAAATTTCAATGCGCTTCCTTGAGATACAATGGTGACGCTGTTGGTGCTGAGGATGATGAGCGCTATAACAAGGAAAACCCCTGTTAATACCCTAAGAAGAAGGAGTGATACCTTCAAGGAAACTGGTGGTGGCGATGGAGGTGGTGGTGCCATATAATTGATAAGTACGTTGAATGGTACGGTGTATTTAATGATCTTCTTGGATTGGAAGATGATGATAAGAGCCTGAGATTTTCGAATACAATACATGGAATGCCAATTAATTTATTTTATAACTAAAACTCGCTAGAGAGATAAGAGTTGACTTTTGCTCTATGGCATGGGGACCAGACCAATTGTAATGACGGTAAATGTCAAACAAACAAAATAAAGATAATTATGAAATATAGCAAAGTTTGTTGTTGAAGTCGTGCTGAAACCTGATCACCACGTCTAGTCTACCAAATTTTTCGTATGATATTTTTATACCTCAAACTTTAAAAAATACCAAGATAAATAGTCCTTTGGTTAAATTGTGTTAGGCTGTTAATTGGTTTTAAAATCTATATATATATACATTTTTGGATGACTTTTAGCAAATAAATCCTGGAGTTGAAATGTATTTACAAACAATGCCATTGGAGTTAATTCTTAAGATTTAAAAAAATTAATTAAAGATATTATTCTAAAGATCGTTCCTCAAATCTCCTCCAACTAATTACTTTAAAAATCTCGATAATAACTATTCCGTGATTTACTGTAATCTTCAAATATATTTGGTATGATTTCTCATAATTAAAGATCCATCATTAATTGCAATAATAAATAAAAACAATAATTTCCTTTTATTTTAAAAACTTTCTAACGACAAATGTATTGCAAAATAAATAATTTCCTAAAACAATTACAGAACCTAATAACTGTTGTAGACTTTTTAGGAAAATAATTACGTAAATATATAACTTAAAGATAACAATTACTCATCAAATCTTTTTTTTTTGTTAATATTGTATCATAACAAGACCTAAATCAATGGACTACTTATTCTCTATATATAAGTGAGGTTATTTAGTTCATCAAATCAATGTGCATGGTTTCCACTCTCGCCGTCCCTCAACTTCTGCAAAATCATTTGCTTCATTTTCTACATGTCTTGGACTAAGGTTCTTCCTATTCTTCTTTGATTTGAATCACTTACATCTCCTTTTTTTTTTTGATAAATCACTCACTTTCATCTTTCTATGACTTTATGTTTGATAGCCTCACGTTGAATTGAGGAGCTTCCCAGTGTATTCGGAAACTGGTCCTTCTACGTTACCTTAATCTACATGTTTTTGTGTTTGGACAAATGAGGAAATGATTCTGATTTTTATTGTTTTGGTATATTGGTTCATGTTTGAGTGTGAAAATATTTGCAGGGTTAACCATAATCCGTTGTAGCTTCTTAATATTGATTTGGAGATGCTCTTAGTATTGATTTGAAAATTTTCTTTGGTTTGTTTACTAAAAAATATTTAGTGGTTTACCATCAAATGAAAAAATCATGTGATAAAATAACCTTTATAGATTAATCTATATTTATCAATTTTTTGAGTAAATCATTTTCTAAATATATTTATTTTAATGTAGATTAGTTAAATTATGGTTACTATTCGTTATTTGACAAACTCATTTGGCTATATTACTTATTTTAAACCAAACTCATTTTGGCAATAAATAATGTTTATTTATAAATTAGATTAACCCCCAAAAAATTATTACCAAATATATAAAGATTATTTATGTCTAAAGAATAATATGTTGCTTTAGATTATTATTATTTATAAGGTTTCAAATATTATAAATATTTTAACCTTATAAGAAGTATAAATTAATAATATTTAAAGTATCTATAATATTTAATTCCATAAAAAGTTTATAATATTAATAATATTTGAACACTATAAAAATTATAAATATTTATACTATGGAACCACTTAAAAGCAAACTTTTAAATTGACTCGAATTATATGTTTTCTAAACAAATGTGTTATTAAAAAAAAATGATGTTTAATTTCACGGGACGGGGTTATATGGTGGGACGGGTTTAGATCGATAATAATACCGGAAGATATACCACGGGTTAAAATCCTAGAAATAATAATCAAAATTCAATATATAATCTTAAACACTAAACAAAACAAATAATATTAACAAAATAATTACAACTTAAAATTTAAAACTTTTTAGTTAAAAAGTCGACCCGCGGTGTACCGCGGGTTAAAATCTAGTATACTCATTATTTTTTCATTGGCTAAAACATTAAAACAGTATGGATAATACTGGAATTTTTACCAAACATTTGCATTGAAAACATAAAACGACAACTATTACAAAACAAAATTTAAGTCTTAAAACGACAACTAAAACGAAATGGAGGGAATATTATTTATGGTAATTGACAGTACCTAATATAACTTTCAACAACATCTAGCGGCGAAAATTCAAGCCTTTATCATTTGTATCTACAGTATTAATATTTAACACAGTCAGATTAATATTTAGGAAAAAGAGAGTTACGTTTGACTATCCAACTAAGGGCTTCTTATGTAACGTACGGCGTCCAATTTAGCGATCAGCGTTCACATTCGCTACTAATTTACACAGATTATCTCAAAAAATTCATTTAAAACGAATAGAGAAATTGCACACGGAAGGTTTGTTCTATGTATCCTAAGATTCGATGGTAAAATACACACTTTTAATTATACGGGTAATATAAAGAGGAAGATTGAAGATGAGTATTGAGTTGTTATGTACAAGACATGGAATGTGCTAATTAACTAAGCAAAAATATTATCACGTTGACTATAACGATATGAGTTGAATTTTTAATTAATGTCAACGTCAAAATAATTTATTTTTAAATCACAAGAATACATAATTTTAATTTTTTTTTATCATTTCAGTCGTGATGGACTTGAAAGCCGCCTATGAACGAAAGGTGCAAATACTACATTTCTAGAGAAAAAAATATGTGTATATACATGATAGAAAAGTATAATAATTTTTTTTTTCGACGTATTATAAATTTATAATACTCAAATTATTGTTCGTAGAGAAATGACACGTTATAACTGCAAACACGTTGACTTTCCAAAGTCAAACTAAACGCTTATGAAATTACCAAGAAACACACATGGAAATAGTAACATCAAAACGTTGCATGGAGAAGAGTTTTAAGGTTTGTGAAGGAAATTTGAGGATTTTCTTCCTTAAATTTTTTTCAATACGTACGTTTACAGAAACAGTAATACGAAACATAGACTGGCGAGATATGTAGTAATCTATTTACTTGGTAACGTGACCAAAGAATCTTAAAAAGCATATAATCTTATTAAATTCCACGATTGGTGGGAGAAACAAGATTTAAAATAAATGGAAGCATATTGTAGGGTTACAGTGATCATATATGTGTATTTATGAGACTTGAATTGGTCGTTTGGAAAGAGCAAGGGATGAGAAAACGGATAAAACGGCAAGAGAGACGAATGCAAAGAGAAGAAGACTGGCCGATGCATATCCTTTACTGAAGAACTTATCCACCGGATCTGTTGAATCAAATTCTATCAATGCTAAGAATGTTTCTTTCAAATCTTTGCTCACTCCAAATCCAGCCGCCGAACCCGTTGCAAGTAAATATGATATTATCTGTCCAAATTTCAACAAACGAGAGTTATAACAAGATTTACAATTGTGATTCAAACTAATACGTGTATGTCCTCTCATTTTGTATACATCATACATAAATAAATGTGGGACTCATATTTACTAAGTCTTACTGTTATATATGACTTATCTTCTAATGTATTTAAAGATAAGATTTACTCAAAAATGATAAAGTATAAATAAATACCTTATCACCGTAGAAATTGAACTGATAATTAAGAGGATGTGTAGTTCCCGTGGCGAATTGGGAGATTGTTAAGAACAGTTGTACAACGGCGTAAAGTAGTCCGATGACGGCAGCGGACAGCATGTATCTTCATGAAATGATGAATCCAAACATATATATATGCAAGAAAATAGTTAAAAAAGAGTTAGTAAAATATTGGATAAAAAAATTTCACAAAGGAAATAAATCTCTTTTGGTTTAAGGAAAAGGAATTGTCACAAGACCTAAAACAACCTCCGATTATAATTAGAATACAAACAGGTAAAGAAAATAAATAATTTGATTGAATTTATTTACCTATAAGCATAGACATCGTTAAAACGCATTTTTATAGATGTGCTTGAGACTTCGAGGGTGACGGTGTTGGTGCTGATGAGGACCACCGTTATGACGAGGAAAGCAGCCGTCAAAACCCTAAGGAGGAGGAGTACTGTTCTCAACGTAACGGACGGCGGTGACGGAGGTGGTGGAGCCATATAGATGTTCCCGTTAATTATTAGTTTCACTTTCACTTTAAAGAGTAAGATGAAGATGATTAAGGCTAAGATGTTCGAATGCAAGACATGGAATGCTGACTAATTTATAGCCAAAATTTACGTTGACTCGAGATTGAAGAGTTGATTTTTGTTAAAGTCATTGGCTCAATGCCAAACAAAAAATTTAAATTATAATCTTTAACTATATATAATGTAAATATATATATATATATCTACAAATTGTATTCTTCAGGTCGTGCTGGAGCTTGCTGGAACTTCTTAGTTATTGAAGTCGTGATATATTTTATTGAGATGGTATAACTTTAAAAATTTGAAACAGTATTTTTTAACCAAGAAATTATAAGTCTAAGTTCAGTCTTCGTTGCCAGAACCAAATTTTGATATTAGTTTTATTAAGTGTAGTCATAATCCTTTCAAACGGGTTGGACCTAGCTAGTGAAGAACAATTGAACAAACTCAAATTTAGCTTGTATCTATATCTAAATGATCAAAACGAATGTTTTTATTTGTCATATTATTGTTCTCAAATCCTGATTATGCAACTTTAGACATCAAATCATAATTATGCACTCGAACCCAAAAATAAAAAAAAAGATCTGATTAGCGTAAATTAATTTTGCGCCACAACGTATTTTATATGCATACCAAATCATAAGAATCCTAGTACAACTGTAAAAATTCGAGTTGGACACCTAGCAGCGATAATTCAAACCGTGTTTCCATCTTATTTAATTAAGTCGTCTATCAGTTTTAAGTGCAATCATTCGTATTAAAAAGAAAAATTAAAATTACTCATACTGTTTAGAGGAACAAAGTATATATGTAACAAGAGTTGCATATAAGTCGGCTACAT